TAGATTGTCATAGACGCTCAGACAGGAAAGCCTCAAAGTCACACATGCAAAGAGCAAACAAACAGACACCCACCTCACTCACTCACTCACTCACTCACTCACTCACTCACTCACTCACTCACTCACACGCACACACACACACAAACACACACACACTCACACACACACACAGAGACAGACACACACACACACGCACACAGACAGACACACAGACACACAGACACACACACACACACACACGCACACACACACACACACACGCGCGCGTGTGCACACACAGACAAACGCACACATGTACCGTACATACATGCACACATACACGCACACATACATACGTACGTACATACATGCACACAGATGAATTTATGCATGCCTAGATCCACCCATCCATCATCCACACATGCATGTGTACATGCTCTCACACACACATGTGCAAACGCCTTTGACCAGCATCATGGCTTCTACATGTTTTTGCCGAGGCATCGGTCGCACGTCGCCTCGACCAGAAGAAAGTGAAATTGGAAGAAGCGAAATTGGTGCCTTGGCATATGTGTGGGTCCCGTCATTCGCGTGGGTATAGTGGCTTCAGAATCGTGAGGTTGCAGAGTTCGAGGTGGTCGTATCACGGGTGAGCGGGGCAAGTGGGGCGAGTGAGGCAAAAGTGGCGGGCAAGGCGGGACATGTCTGGGGGACATGTCTGTTCTGGGTTGGTAAGCCGGGGGCGCTTCTTCCAGATCTCAGGGCAAAGTCGACAAAGAAGCCAAGAAGCTGACCGAGGCGACGGATCTGTCTCTTGGTGGCTCTTCCTCAGTTACAGTTGATGATTCATGATGATGATAGTGACAGTGATGACGGTCAGAATTGCGGTCTTGACTGTGACTGCCACAGATGGTCGTCTTCCGGTTCTTCTTCTTAAGCTCCTCAGTTGCGGTGGCGCTGGCATTAGATGGCGGCGTTGGCGCTTATGTGCCTGTTCTTGGCCCCGATGTTGTTGTTGTTGTTGTTGTTGTTGTTGTTGGCAGCACGTGCATCTGCCGCCGTGCGGGGTGGAGCAAATTCGGGGCAGGCA